TCCACATCTTCGTCAGTCAGGTCGTTGCAGCACAGCTCAAACACCAGGGCTTTAACATGCTTCCCCAGCTTCTTCTTAGAAACCTTGGTCACAATCTCAGTCATCCTGCAGAGGAGAGAAGAGGTGACTCAACATTCTCCACCAGGCATCTCTGTCAGGTGGAGAAACCTCCGTTTCCTCAAGTTAAACATTCTGCTCATTCCCGTTGTTGAATGGCCATTTCAGACATCTCAACGAGGGCAGAAACTCCCATATGTGTGTATGTTGGTGTCCATACTGTCCTAAGTCTGAACAAACAAGGTGAGTTTATAAAGAAGGGAACTCACGGCAACGCCAGCCTCTCCTTGAGTTTAGCTGCAGGCATGAAGAAGGAGTAGAGCATGGAGACTCCCTGAGACAGCATGGTGATCTCCAACTGATGCTCATTCTAGAGAGGGGATGGAAAGGGAAATGTTCTAGAAACTGAACAACGTATACTCAACCATAGAAACACACGAGGGGGCAGGCGTACCTTGAAGTAGTCGAGGAACTGTCGGAGTGTCATCTCTTCTCCACTGGGCTGCAGACCCTTCACCTCAAAACGATCCCACAGTGACCAGTCAATCTCATAGTACTATGAGGAAGAGAGAGCGGAGAAATGGATGGAGAGCGGCGAGATGGATTGAGGGAGGAGAGAGATAGAGGAGCGATGGAGGGAAGTAGAGAGGAGAGGAGAGATGGAGAGAAGTAGAGAGGAGAGATGGAGAGAGGGAGGGAGAGGAGGGGAGAGGAGAGATGGAGGGAGAGGAGAGATGGAGGGAGAGGAGAGATGGAGGGAGAGGAGAGATGGAGGGAGAGGAGAGATGGAGGGAGAGGAGAGATGGAGGGAGAGGAGAGATGGAGAGCTGGAGGGTAGAGGAGAGATGGGCGGAGGGCGAGCGTGCGGGGAGAGGAGAGATGGAGGGATGGAGGGAGGGCAGGATGGAGGGGAGGAGAGCATGGAGGGTGGGGAGATGGAGGGAGAGCGAGAGATGGAGGGAGGCGAGCGAGCTGGAGGGAGAGCGGGATGGAGGGGAGAGCTGGGGCGAGCGGCGAGGGGGGAGGGAGCGGGGAGAGGAGAGATGGAGGGATGGAGGGAGAGGAGAGATGGAGGGAGAGGAGAGGGGGAGGAGGGAGAGATGAAGTGAGTGAAGAATATCTGTTAGTGCTACAACACCAAATGATTGGCCTGTCTCACAGCACTACACAGAGATCAATATAGGTATTGATTAAACAGTGGATTCTGTCAAGGTATTGATAAGGACATTTCCCTGCAGTTTCACCAGGTCCTACCACATACGTTAGTTCCCATACGGATATGAGCGCTCAGAATAGATTTTTGGATATGCCTGTGCTACAGTAAAGGAGATGGGTAATGTGACAAACTCACAGGGTGAAGCCAAGCTCATTAGCAGTCATCTAACAGTACCCCATCTAACAGTAACCCATGTAATAAAACACCTTTAGGAAATATGCTCTAGACTGCGCAATGTTTCCACTTTGAAGCACAGAAAACGTTTTAATGCACCCTCCCCTAAAGCCACCCCAGACTGTAGGATTCTAGAGGTATTATTATTATTATTATTATTATTATTATATGCCATTTAGCAGATGCTTTTATCCAAAGCGACTTACAGTCATGCGTGCGTACATTTTTACGTATGGGTGGTCCCGGGGATCGAACCCACTACCCTTGGCGTTACAAGCGCCATGCTCTACCAGCTGAGCTACAGAGGACCAGAGAACCGGGGTGTTGCAGTTCCAGACAAAATGTTCACACAGAGGGCAAATTCCTGGGTTGTAAACGATTTTTTGACGTCTTGTTCAGGGTGACAGGGTCAAGGTCTATACTACCGGGCTCGCAGCCCTATCACCCTACTACCGGGCTCGCAGCCCTATCACCCTACTACCGGGCTCGCAGCCCTATCACCCTACTACCGGGCTCACAGCCCTATCACCCTACTACCGGGCTCGCAGCCCTATCACTCTACTACCGGGCTCGCAGCCCTATCACCCTACTACCGGGCTCGCAGCCCTATCACCCTACTACCGGGCTCGCAGCCCTATCACCCTACTACCGGGCTCGCAGCCCTATCACCCTACTACCGGGCTCGCAGCCCTATCACCCTACTACCGGGCTCGCAGCCCTATCACCCTACTACCGGGCTCGCAGCCCTATCACCCTACTACCGGGCTCGCAGCCCTATCACCCTACTACCGGGCTCGCAGCCCTATCACCCTACTACCGGGCTCCGCAGCCCTATCACCCTACTACTCTCCCCACCGGGCTCGCAGCCCTATCACTCTACTACCGGGCTCGCAGCCCTACACCCCTACTACCGGGCTCGCAGCCCTATCCACTTACTACCGGGCTCGCAGCCCTACCACTCTACTACCGGGCTCGCAGCCCTATCATTATACTACCGGGCTCGCAGCCCTACCACTCTACTACCGGGCTCGCCGCACTCTCTTAACTACCGGGCTCGCAGCCCTATCATATATACCGGGCTCGCAGCCCTATCACCCTACTACCGGGCTCGCAGCCACTACACCCTACTACGGGCTCGCAGCCCTATCACCCTATACCGGGCTCGCAGCCCTATCACCCTACTACCGGGCTCGCAGCCCTACCACTTACTACCGGGCTCGCACGCCCTATCACCCTACTACCGGGCCTCGCAGCCCTATCACCCTACTACCGGGCTCGCAGCCCTATCACCCTACTACCGGGCTCGCAGCCCTATCACCCTACTACCGGGCTCGCAGCCCTATCACCCTACTACCGGGCTCGCAGCCCTATCACCCTACTACGGGCTCGCAGCCCCTATCACTCTACTACCGGGCTCGCAGCCCTATCACTCTACTACCGGGCTCGCAGCCCTACCACTCTACTACCGGGCTCGCAGCCCTACCACTCTACTACCGGGCTCGCAGCCCTACCACTCTACTACCGGGCTCGCAGCCCTACCACTCTACTACCGGGCTCGCAGCCCTATCACTCTACTACGGGCTCGCAGCCCTATCACCATACTACCGGGCTCGCAGCCCTTATCACTCTACTACCGGGGCTCGCAGCCCTATCACTCTACTACCGGGCTGCAGCCCTACCATCTACTACCGGGCTCGCAGCCCTATCCACTCTTACTACCGGGCGCGCAGCCCTCTACACTCTACTTACCGGCTGCCAGCCCTATCATCTTACTCCCGGGCTAGCAGCCCTATCACTCTACTACCGGGCTCGCAGCCCTATCACTCTACTACCGGGCTCGCAGCCCTATCACTCTACTACCGGGCTCGCAGCCCTATCACTCTACTACCGGGCTCGCAGCCCTATCACTCTACTACCGGGCTAGCAGCCCTATCATTCTACTACCGGGCTAGCAGCCCTATCACTCTACTACCGGGCTCGCAGCCCTATCACTCTACTACCGGGCTCGCAGCCCTATCACTCTACTACCGGGCTCGCAGCCCTATCATTATACTTACTATGCTAGTTTATTAGATGGGACATTTGTAAAATGACATTTAGTTATCTGTGAGAGTATTGGTTAGTTCATGATAGTTCATAGTAGTTGGTAGTAGTTGGTTAGTTCATAGTAGTTGGTTAGTTCATGATGGTTCATAGTAGTTGGTTAGTTCATTGTAGTTGGTTAGTTCATGATGGTTCATAGTAGTTGGTTAGTTCATGATGTTCATAGTAGTTGGTTAGTTCATGATGGTTCATAGTAGTTGGTTAGTTCATGATGGTTCATAGTAGTTGATTAGTTGGTAGTAGTTGGTTAGTTGATAGTAGTTGGTTAGTTGGTAGTAGTTGGTTAGTTGATAGTAGTTGGTTAGTTGATAGTAGTTGGTTAGTTGATAGTAATTGGTTAGTTGGTAGTAATTGGTTAGTTGGTAGTAGTTGGTTAGTTGGTTAGTTGGTAGTAGTTGGTTAGTTGGTAGTAGTTGGTTAGTTGGTAGTAGTTGGTTAGTTGATAGTAGTTGGTTAGTTGATAGTAGTTGGTTAGTTGATAGTAGTTGGTTAGTTGATAGTAGTTGGTTAGTTGATAGTAGTTGGTTGATGGTTAGTATTGGTTAGTTGGTAGTAGTTGGTTGTTGGTCGTCGTTGGTTGTTGGTGTAGTTGGTTAGTTGTAGTAGTTGGTTGTTGATAGTCAGTTGGTTGTTGGTGTGTTGTGTACTTGGTTAGTTGTTAGTTGGTTACGTTGATAGTAGTTGGTTGTTGTGTAGTTGGTTAGTTGGTAGTGTTGGTTAGTTGGTAGTAGTTGGTTAGTTGTAGTAGTTGGTTGTTGGTGTGTGTTGGTTAGTTGTAGTATTGGTTCGTTGATGTTGGTTGTTGATCAGTGTTGGTTGGTTTGTCGTAATTGGTTAGTTGATAGTAGTTGGTTAGTTGATGTAGTTGGTTATTGTGTTAGTAGTTTGTTAGTTGTTCGTAGTTGGTTAGTTTGGTATCGTTGGTTAGTTGGTTCTTGTGTTTGGTTGTTGATGTATTGGTTGTTGTAGTAGTTGGTTAGTTGTGTACGTTGGTTAGTTGATAGTAGTTGGTTAGTTGATGTAGTTGGTTGTTGATAGTAGTTGGTTAGTTGATAGTAGTTGGTTAGCTGATAGTAGTTGGTTAGCTGATAGTAGTTGGTTAGCTGATAGTAGTTGGTTAGCTGATAGTAGTTGGTTAGCTGATAGTAGTTGGTTAGTTGATAGTAGTTGGTTAGTTGATAGTAGTTGGTTAGTTGATAGTAGTTGGTAGTAGTTGGTTAGTTGATAGTAGTTGGTTAGTTGATAGTATTGGTTAGTTGATGTAGTTGGTAGTAGTTGGTTAGTTGATAGTAGTTGGTTGTTGATAGTAGTTGGTTAGTTGATAGTAGTTGGTTAGCTGATAGTAGTTGGTTAGTTGAATGAAGGCCCCAACACCCCCCTCCCCCGGTCCTGTACCTTGTGGCTGGGAGCAGCGAGGGGTCTGAGAAGGTGAAGAAGGGGAGCGCCAGGTTCAGAAGCCGTTCTTAAACGACTCCAACTTCTTGTGTCCCCTGAACGATCTTGATTGAGCTCCAGACACACCAGACCCACGGACCGCCGCCGTGGTGGTCGCTATCGCAGAATGATCTTACCAGCTATCAGCTTACTCTGGAGACACAGGGGAGGAGGAGAGGGAGGGAGAGAGGGAGGAGAGAGAGGGAGGAGAGAGAGGCGGGCGAGAGAGGGAGGAGAGAGAGGGAGGAGAGAGGCGGGAGGAGAGAGGCGGGAGAGGGAGGCGAGAGAGCGAGGAGAGAGAGGGGGAGGAGAGAGAGGCGGGTGAGAGGCGGGAGGAGAGAGGCGGGAGGAGAGAGGCGGGAGGAGAGAGGCGGGAGAGGGAGGAGAGAGAGCGATTAGTAAATGGCGGCTGTGGTGGTTGCCACGGCAGGAATGATCTCTCTGGAGAGGAGCAAGAGACATTTGTACACAATACTTTTGTTTTAGTTTTTTGCTCCAGGCATCTTTAGTCAAAAGTCTGATAGTTGAAATGTGACATCAATGGCTGTGTGTAGGGGGATGTCAATGTGGGAGTGTGTATACACCTTGTGTCTGTCGGCAGGGGGAATGTCGTAGTTCTCTGCTCGCAGGTTGGAGGCAGCCACGATGAAGTCCATGTGGAAATTAGAGTCATCATCCTGGAACACAGTTACCACAGAGAGACATACACACAGTTAACAATCAAACACACAAATGTTAGACAAACAGAGGTGGTAAGGACGACAGGACTTGAAAGGTGTTGTAGGAGAACGATGTCGAGAACACAGAAGTAGAGTAAAGTGAGATGGGAGTAGAGAGAGAGAGAGGGGGGAGATGGGAGTAAAGGGAGAGAGAGGGGAGTAGAGAGAGAGAGAGAGGAGTAGAAGGAGAGTTCTATACCTTCTCAAAGTCGATGGCAGTGAGTTTAAACTGAGAAGAAGCTTCAGGTCCAGGTAGCAGAGTCTTCAGCTCCTCCAGCCTGTTGTCATCTACACACACACACACACACCCCGCAGACACACACACACACACCCCGCAGACACACACACACACACACCCCGCAGACACACACCCCGCAGACACACACAGACACACCACGCAGACACACCCCAAAGAGAAACACACACGAAGGTTAGGCATACACAGACAGTGTTGATTGTTTTACAGACAGGGAAAGTGGCCAATGACATCCGTAGCAGGGTCATCTCACATGGCCGGTGGCGAGAGGTGGGATCTGTCTTGCTAACACATAATAACAGACAGTCCCATGGTTATTTGACCCTCTTAGTAACCCACTTTAACCCACTGTGTTATGTCAGAAAGCAACGTGTTTCTTTCACTCATGCGTTGGGCCACCCAATTTCATTCGGCAGCAAATGCATTGTGTTATAAAAAAGTAACATTTCTGAGGACACGTCTTTAACCTCATGCGCCCAACGGGCCTTTTTTCCCTTCTCCAAGTATTGTGTTTAGACAAGATAGTCAACTCCTACAGGTAGAAGGTTGACTATCACTAGAAACTATTATTTAGATATCCCTACAGGTAGAAGGTTGACTATCGCTAGAAACTATTATTTAGATATCCCTACAGTAGAAAGGTTTGACTATCACTAGAAACTATTATTTAGATATCCCTACAGTAGAAGGTTTGACTATCACTAGAACTATTATTTAGTAACCCTACAGGTAGAGGTTGACTATCCCTAGAAACTTTATTTTGATATCCCTACAGGTCGAGGTTGACTATCGCTAGAAACCTATTATTTAGATACACTCTACATTACAGGTAGAAGGTTGACTATCACTAGACACGATTATTTAGATAACCTACAGTAAAGAAGGTGGACTATCACTAAAACGTATTATTTAGATCCCCACAGTAGAAGGTTACTATCGCTCGAAAACTATTCGTTAATAATCCCTACAGGTATAGGTGGACTATCCTAGAAACTATTATTTAGATAACCCTACAGGTAGAAGGTTGACTATCACTAGAAACTATTATTTAGATACCCCTACAGGTAGAAGGTTGACTATCACTAGAAACTATTATTTAGATAACCCTACAGGTTCGAAAGGTTGACTATCCGCACTAGAACTATTTTTTAGATACCCCGACAGGTAGAAGGTTGCTAGCGCTAGAAGAAAAACTTTAGTTACGATATCCCTACAGTAGAAAGGTTGCTATCACTAGAAACGATTATTTAGATAACCCTACAGGTAGAAGGTTTGACCTATCACTAGAAACTATATTTAGTACCCCTACAGGTAAACGTTGACTTATCACTGCACTATTATTTAGATATCCCTACAGGTAGAAGTTGACTATCACTAAAAAACTATTATTTAGATTATCCCTTACATGTAGAAAGGTTGAACTATCACTAGAAACTATTATTTAGATATCCCTATCCCTACAGGTAGAAGGTTGACTTACAACTAGAAACTATTATTTAGATACCCTACAGTAGAAGGTTGACTATCACTAGAAACTATTATTTAGATATCCCTACAGGTAGAAGGTTGACTATCACTAGAAACTATTATTTAGATATCCCTACAGGTAGAAGGTTGACTATCACTAGAAACTATTATTTAGATATCCCTACAGGTAGAAGGTTGACTATCACTAGAAACTATTATTTAGATATCCCTACAGGTAGAAGGTTGACTATCACTAGAAACTATTATTTAGATATCCCTACAGGTAGAAGGTTGACTATCACTAGAAACTATTATTTAGATACCCCTACAGGTAGAAGGTTGACTATCACTAGAAACTATTATTTAGATATCCCTACAGGTAGAAGGTTGACTATCACTAGAAACTATTATTTAGATACCCCTACAGGTAGAAGGTTGACTATCGCTATAAACTAATCATTTAATAATCCTACGTAGAAGTTTGACTATCGGAGAAACTATCCTTTAATTAACCCCGACAGGTAGAAGGTTGACTATCGCTAGAACTATCATTTATATACGCCCTACAGTAGAAGGTTGCTATCGCTAGAACTATCAATTTGATACCCTACAAGGTAGGACGGTTTGACTATCGCTATAAACTATTATTAGATAGCCCTACAGGTAGAAGGTGACTATCGCTAGAAACTATTATTTAGATATCCCTACAGGTAAAAGTTTGACAATCGCTAGACTATTATTTAGATATCCCACAGGTCAGAAGGTTGACTATCGCTAGAAACTATTATTTATATATCCCTACAAGGTAAAGGTTTGACTATCGCTAGAAACTACTATTATTTTAGATATCCCACAGGTAGACTGTTGACTACGCTAGAAACTATTATTTAGATATCCCTACGGTAAAGGTTGACCTATCGCTAGAAACGATTATTTAGATATCCCTACATGTAGAAGGTTGCTAATATGCTAGAAACTATTATTTAGATAGCCCCTACCCCTCATGTAGAAGGTTTTGACTAGCGCTAGAAACTATTATTTATATTTCCCTACAGGTAGAGTTGACTATCACTAAAACTATTATTTAGATATCCATCCTACAGGTAGAAGTTGACTACGCTAGAAACATTATTTAGATACCCCTGACAGTAGAAGGTTGACTATCGCTAGAAACTTCATTTATATACCCTAAGGTGTGGAAGGTTGACTATCGCTAGAAACTATCAATTTAGATACCCCTACAGGTAGAAGGTTGAACTATCGCAGCAACTATCATTTATATACCCCTACAGGTAGAAAGTCTGACTACGCTAGAAACCTATCATATCACATTTAGATACCCCTCAGTAGAAGGTTGGACTATCGCTAGAAACGAATCATTAGATATCCCTACAGGTAAAGTTGACTATCTCTAGAAACTATTATTTAGATATCCTACAGTGAAATGTTACTATCGCTAGAAACTATTATTTAGATATCCCTCAGGTAGAAAGGTTGACTATCGGCTAGAACTATTATTTTGATATCCCTACAGGTGAAGGTTGAACTAATCGCTAGAAACTATTATTTGATAGCCCTACAGTAGAAGGGTGACTATCGCTAGAAACTATTATTTAGATTATCCCTACAGGTAGAAAGGTTACTATCGCTAGAAACTATTATTTAATATCCCTACAGGTAAGAAGGTTGACTATCGCTAGAAACTATTATTTAGATACCCTACAACAGGTAGAAGGTTGACTATCGCTAAAACTATATTTTAATTATCCCTACAGGGTATAAGGTTGACTATCGCTAGACCTATATTTAGATATCCCTTACAGGTAGAAGGTGACTACGCTAGAACTATTATTTGAGCATATCCATACGGGTAGAAGTTGACTATCGCTAGAAACTATTATTTAGATATCCCTACGGTAAAGGTTGACTATCACACTAGAAACTTTATTTAGATACCCCTAAGGTAAAAGGTTTTACTTTCACTAGAAACTATTATTTAGATACCCCTCAGGTATAGGTTGACTATCACTTATAAAACCTATTATTTAGATATCCCTACAGTAGAAGTTTGCTACGCTAGAAACTATTATTGAATCACCTACAGTGAAGTTGAACTAGCAACACGTAGAAACTATTATTTAGATACCCCTACAGGTAGAAGGTTGACTATCGCTAGAAACTATTATTTAGATATCCCTACAGGTAGAAGGTTGACTATCGCTAGAAACTATTATTTAGATATCCCTACAGGTAGAAGGTTGACTATCGCTAGAAACTATTATTTAGATATCCCTACAGGTAGAAGGTTGACTATCGCTAGAAACTATTATTTAGATATCCCTACAGGTAGAAGGTTGACTATCACTAGAAACTATTATTTAGATACCCTACAGGTAAAGGTTGGACATCACACTAGAAACTATAGTTAAGATATCCCTACATTAGAAGGTTGACAGCACTAGAAACATTTATTAGATATCCCTACAGGTAAAAAGGGTTGACTTCACTGAAACTATTATTTAGATTCCCTACGGTAAGAAGGTTGACGATCACTATAAACTATTATTTAGATATCCTACAGTAGAAGTTGACCGATATCACTAGAAACTTTATTTCGATATCCTCCTATACAGTTAAGAAGGTTTGACTATCGCTAGAAACGATTATTTAGATATCCCTACAGGTGAAGGTTGACTATCGCTAGAACCTATTATTCAGATACCCCTAAGTAGAAGGTTGACTATCGCTAGACCTATATTTATATATCCCTACAGGTCGAAGGTGGCTATCGCTAGAAACTATATTTAATATCCCTACAGGTAGATAGGTGACTATCACTAGAAACTATTATTTAGATATCCCTACAGGTAGAAGGTTGACTATCACTAGAAACTATTATTTAAATATCCCTACAGGTAGAAGGTTGACTATCACTAGAAACTATTATTTAGATATCCCTACAGGTAGAAGGTTGACTATCACTAGAAACTATTATTAGATCTCCCTACCGGTAGAATGTTGACTATCACTAGAAACATTATTTAGATTTATCCCTACAGGTAAGAATGTTTGACTATCACTAGAAACTATTATTTTAGATATCCCTACAGGTTAAAGTTGACTAATCACTAAAAACTAGTATTTAGATATCCCTTCAGGATAAGGTTGACCTACCACTATAACTAATTATGTAGATACCCCTACAGGTAGAAGGTTTGACTATCACTAGAAACTATATTAGATATCCCTACAGGTAGAAGGTTTGACTATCCTAGAAATATTATTTAGATATCCCTACATGTAGAGGTTGACTATCACTAGAAACTATTATTTAGATATCCCCTACAGGTAGAAAGGTTGACTATCACTAGAACTAATTTATGTTTAGATACCCTACAGGTAGAAATGTTGACTATGACATAAACTATATTTTAGATATCCCTACAGGTAGAAGGTTTGACTATCACTAGAAACTATTATTTAGATACCCTAACAGGTAGAAGGTGCTATCCTAGAATATTATTTAGATACCCCTACAGGTAGAAGGTTACTTCCTAAAATATTATTTAGATATCCCTACAGTAGAAGGTTGATATCACTATAAAATATTTTTAAGATACCCTACAGTAGAAGGTTGACTATCAATAAAAACTATTATTTAGATATCCCACCGTAGAAGGTTACTATACTAGAAACTATTATTAGATACCCCTACAGGTAGAAGGTGGCTATCGTAGAAACTATATTTAGATATCCCTACGGTAGAAAGGGTTGACTATCGCTAAAACTTTTAGTTAGATATCCCTACCGGTAGAAGTTTGACTATCGCTAGAAACTATGTTTTAGATATCCCTACAGTAGAAGGTTGACTACGCAGAAACTAATTTCTTTCGATATCCCTACAGGGTAAGAAGGGTTGACTATCACTAGAAACTATTATTTATATCCTGCTACAGGTAGAAGGTTGACTATCACTAGAACTATTATTTATATATCCCCTACAGGTAAAAGGTTGACTATCACTAGAAATATTATTTAGATATCCCTACCATTAGAGGTTTGACTATCACTAGACACTATTATTTAGATATCCCTACAAGGTAGAAGGTTTGACTATCACAAAACTAATTATTTAGATATCCCTACAGGTAGAAGGTTGAGCTATCGCTAGAAACTATTATTTAGATAATCCCTACAGTAGAAGGTTACTATCGCTAGAAAACTATTATTTAGATAACCCCTACAGGTAGAAGGTTGACTATCGCTAGAAACTATTATTTAGATATCCCTACATGTAGAGGTTGACTATTCGCTAGAAACTCTTATTTAATAATCCCTACGGTAGGAAGTTACTATCACTAAAACTATTATTTAGATATTCCCTACAGTGAAGGTTGACTATCCTAGAAACTATTATTTAGATTATCCCTACAGGTATAAGGTTGACTATCACTAGAAACTAGTATTGATATCCCTACGGTATAAGGTTTGACTATCACGAGAAACTATTATTTTAATAGCCCTACAGGTTAAGGTTACTATCACTAGAAACTATTATTAGATACCCCACAGGTAGAAGGTTTGACTATCACTAGAACTATTATTTTTTAAGATATCCCTACAGTAAAGTTGACTATCACTAGTAAATATGATTTAGATACCCCTTAAGGTAGACGGTTGACTATCATAGAAACCTATTATTTAGATAATATTTAGATACCCCTTACAGGTAGAAGGTTGACTATCATAGAAACTATTATTTGAGATACCCCTACATGTAGAAAGTTGACTATCACTGAACGATTCTTTAGATATCCCTACAGTAGAAGGTTGACTATCACTAGAAACTATTATTTAGATACCCCGACAGTTAGAAGTTGACTATCACTAGAACCTATTAATTTTTTTAGATAGATACCCCTCAGGTAGAAGGTTGACTATCACTAGAAACTATATTTAATATCCCTACAGTAGAAGGTTGACTATCACTAGAAACTATTATTTAGATATCCCTACGGTAGAAGGGACTATCACTAGAAACTATTATTTAGTATACCCTACAGGTAGAAAGGGTTTGACTATCACTAGAAACTATTATTTTAAGATATCCCTAACAGGTAGGAAGGTTGACTATCACACTAGAAAACTATTATTTAGATATCCCACAGTATAAGGTTGGCTATCACTAAAACTATTATTTAGATACCCCACAGGTAGAAGGTTGACTATCACTAGAAACTATGAGTTAGAAGCCCTACAGGTAGAAGGTTGCTATCGCTAGAACTATATTTAATACCCCTACAGGTAAGAAGTTTGACTATCGCTAGAAACGATTATTTAGATGATCCCTACAGGTAGAAGGTTGACTATCGCTAGAAACTATTATTTAGATACCCTACAGGTAGAGGTTGAACTATCGCTAGAAACTATTATTATAAATATCCTACAGGTATAAGGTTGACTATCACGTAAACTATTATTTAGATTCCTACAGTAGAAGGTTGACTATCACTAGAAACTATTATTTAGATTCCCTACAGGTAGAAGGTTTGACTATCCTAAAAACTATTTTTAGATATCCCTACAGTAGAGGTTGACTATCGCTAGAAAAACTATTATTTAGTACCCCTAAACAGGGTGGATATAGGTTTTGAACTATCGCTAGAAAACCTATTATTTAGATATCCTACAGTAGAAGGTGACTATCGCTAGAACTATTATTTAGATATCCCTACAGGTATAAGGTTGACTATCACTAAAACTAGTATTTATATATCCCTACAGGTAATAGTTTACTATCACTAGAAACTATTATTTAGATATCACCTACAGGTGAAGGTTGACTATCACTAGAAACTATTCTTTTAGATAGTCCCTACAGGTAACAGGTTGACTATCACTAGAACTAATTATTTAGATATCCCTACAGTTAGAGGTTGACTATCACTAGAACTATTATTTAGATATCCCCTAACAGGTAGAAGGTTGACCTATCACTAGAAACTATTATTTACGATATCCCTAACAGGTAGAGTTTACTATGCTAGAAAACTATTATTTATATATCCCTACAGGGATACAGGTTGACTTATCGCTAGAAAACCTATTATTTAGATACCCCTACAGGTAGATAGAGTGTTGACTATCCCTAGAAACTATTATTTAGATATCCTACAGGTAGAGGTTTTGACTATCGCTAGAAACTAGTATGTAGATCTCCCTACAGGTAGAAGGTTGCTAAATCACTCACTATAAAACTATTATTAGATATCCCTACAGGTTTAGAAGGTTACTATCACTAGAAAACTATTATTTAAATATCCTACAGTAGAGGTTGAACTATCACTAGAAACTATTATTTAGATATCCCTACATTTAGAAAAGTTGACTATCACGAGAAACCTATTATTTGAGATAGCCCTACAGTAGAAGGTTGACGATCACTAGAAACTATTATTTAGATCCCCCTACGGTAAAGTGACTATCACTAGAAACATTGAATTTGATATCCCTACAGGTGAAGGTTGATCTTATCACTAGAAAATATTATTTAGATCCCCTACAGTAGAAGGTTGGACTATCACTAAGAAACCTATTATTTAGATTCCCTACAGGTAAAGTTGAACTATCACTCACACACTATTATTTAGATACCCCTACAGGTAGAAGGTTGACTATCACTAGAAACTATTATTTAGAATTCCCTACCAGTGAAGGTTGACTATCAAATAGAAACTATTATTTAGATACCCCACGGTAGGAGTTGACTATCACTAGAAACTAGTTTTAGATACCCCTACAGTAGAAGTTGACTAGCAACCTAAAACTATTATTTAGATATCCCGACAGGTAGAAGGGGGTTGACTATCACTAGAAACTTATTATTTAGATATATCCCTACAGGTAAGAAGGTTGAACTATCACTAGAAAACATATTTAAATACCCCTACGTAGAAGGTTGACTATCACTAGACACTATTATTTACGATATCCCTATACAGGTAGAAGTTGACTATGCCTGGAGCACCTTCCATATGTTTAATATGACATACAAGCATCCCCTCCTCAACACCAGACGTTGACGTTAGCGCTCTGCAGCTCCTGGTCGGCTACGTGGAATCTTGAACCCCTGACCTGGGACAAAGGTGGGCACCGATAGCTGTCCCGGATCTTATCCACGCCGACACGTCAGTAGCGCCCTGCATGCCGTACGAACGGGCAAACAGTTTGGCTCCTGCCATCACATAGTCCATATGGAGGTCCTAGAGAGGAGGGACCTTAGAGAGGGCGGGACAAAACGTTTAGAGAAGGAGAGAGAGAGACAACGTTACTATGAGAGAGGGAGGTACCACTGGTTACATGGATGAGAGGGAAGGACAAACACGGTTACATGGAGAGGGATGGACCTGGTTCCATTGAGAGAGGTAGGACCCTGTTACATGGAGAGAGAGAGGGTGACACGTTTACATGTAGAAGAGAGGGGGACAACACGGTTTACTGGAGAAGTGGGTGAGGGACACCCGGTACATGGAAGAGAGAGGGGACACGGTTACGATGAGAGGGTGAGTACCACTTTTTTCATTTAGAGGGTGAGGGACACGTTACCTGATAGGGGGAGGGGCCCTGGTACATGGAGATGGGAGGGACACGGTTTTACATGGAGAGAGTGAGGGACACGGTTTACATGTGAGAGGGGGATGGACACGGTTAAGTGTAGAGGGGGAGGGACAAACCGGTTACATGGAGAGGGGAGGGACACGGTTACATGAGATGGGAGGGACAAACACGGTTTACATGGAGATGGGATGGACAACGTTTACAACATTGATAGGGGGAGGACAAAACGGTTACATTAGAGGGGAGGGAACACGGTTACTGTATAGAGGGAGGGACACGTTACATGGAGAGAGGGAGGGACACGTTACTGGAAGAGAGGAGGGACCAAATAACGGTACAAGACACGGAGATAGGAGGGACACGGTTTTACACTGAGAGATATATGGGACACTGTTACATGGATATGATATTGGGACACGGTTAACATGAGAGAGAGGGTACACGGTTACATGGAGAGAGGGGTACAAACGGTGTACATGGAGAGGGGGAGGACCCGGTTCAATTGAGAGGGGAAGGGGTGACACACGGTAGACATACTTGAAGAGACACGGTTACATTGAGAGGGGGAGGGACACGGTTACTGGAAGGGGGAGGGACAAACGGGTTACATGGAGAGGGGGAGGGACACGGTTACATGGATCGGGGGGGTAGGGACACGGTACATGGGAGGGGGAGGGACAGGTTACTGGAGAGGGGAGAGACCACGGTACATGGATAGAGAGGGACACGGTTACATGAATAGAGGGACACGGTTACATTGTATAGAGAGGGACCGGTTACTGGAGAGAGATGGACACGGTTACATGGAGAGAGAGGGACACCGGTTACATGGAGAGAGAGGGACACGGTTTACATGGAGAAGGGGGACAACTTGTTACATGAGAGAAGAGGGACACGGTTACATGAGGAGAGAGAGACCACGGTTTACATGGAGATAGGGAGGGACACTGTTCATGAGAGAGGGACACGTTACAATGGAGAGATGGGGGACACGGTTACATGTAAGAGATGACATTGGTTCATGGAGGAAGAGAGACACGGTTACATGAGAGAGGGAGGGACAAGAGGTTTACAACATGTCGAGACCACGTTCATGGCTATATGAGAGGGACACTGTTACCTTGAGAGACACGTTTACAATTGAGAGGACACAAAACGGTTCAAACATGGAGAAGAGAGAGGGACAACGTTACATGGATAGACACGGTTTACATGGAGAAGAGAAGGGACCGGTTACATTGAGAGAGGGGGTACAAAGGAAAGGACTCACGTTGCTGGGGCTGAACTCTAGCGGGATAGGACATCTCTTTTTGGAACCGGACCAGAAGTGGGCGCCAGAGCTGGTCACCTAGACGAGAGTGAGTGAGAGAGACAGAACAAAGAACATTGATATTAGTACAACCAAAACCACATTCAAGGTAACATTGGTGTGTGTGTGTGTGTGGTGTACAGTGTTGGTGTGTAACAGTGTGTGTAACAGTGTTGTGTGTGTCACAGTGGTGGTGTGTGTAACCGTGTGGTGTGTGTAACAGTGTGTTGTGTGTGTGTGTGTGTGTTGTGTAACATTGTGTGGTGTAACAGTGTGTGTGTGTAACAGTGGTATGTGTGTGCTGTGTTGTGTGTGTGTGTAACCAGTGTTCTTGAACCTTGTTCGGGAAGTTTGTGCATTGATTTGATGTATTTTTGTTGCTGTACTGGCACCTGCCAGTGTGCCTAGCCCAGAAGCACAGTCCCTGGGTGCCCACTGCGCGGGGCTCAGTCACCTACTCTTATAGACGGCCTCCAACACACGTCTAGAGGCGGGCTCCAGGAAGCTTCAGGTCCTCTCCCAGGGAACTTGGGATCTCTGGTTCATAAAACATTCATATAGATCATATTAAACTCTTCTAGACGGCCGCCAAACGTCCTAGAGGCTCATGCAGCCCACCTCTGGGTTGAGTTTACAGATGCGCAGTCTACTATAACTTTAGAGTTTCAGACGCCAGAAAGGGATGGACTCTTACCAGAGCGACCTCTTATCTTGGATACCCTTATAACTATTATGAAATTGATTTTTTTCACTTTTTATGCTGTGGCGCACTGCACAGAAATCGGAAAGAATTATCACTCACTCTGTTAATTGGTCCATTAATCCCTTAAGGGATTGGTTGCCAACTGGCCATTTGACGCCAAAATAAAATGGTATCATTCATCAGTCAGTGCATTCAACTAGTTGTACAGACACAAGCGCCATCAACAAATCCTAGCAATGTTAGAAATAGCCCGCCATCTGCTAAATTGGTGGACTTACGTGAGGTACTCATGGCATTCTTGAATTGCTGTTAAATAACCCCAACTCAATCACGGCCCCTGGAGAGGAGAGAGGACAGTTATCCATACACATCACACACTGGAGAGGAGAGAGGACGTTACCTACACATCACAACTTAGAGGACAGTTACCATACACTCACACACTGAAGAGGACATTTACATCCCATCACACCTGGAGATGATAGATGGACAGTTTACCATAACACACACACACACTGGAGAGGACAGTTTTACCATACACAGCACACACTGGAGAGGGACATTTACCATAACACCTCACACACTGGAGAGGACAGTTACCATACAACAATCACCACTGGAGAGGACAGTTAATAACCATACACATCACACACTGGTAAGAGGACAGTTACCATACACTCACCACTGGAGAGGGACAGTTACCATACGACATCATCACACTGTGAGAGGACAGTTACCATACCACATCAACACCACTGGAGAGGACGTTACCATACACTCACACACTGGAGAGGAGAAGGACAGTTACCATACACCTCACACCCTGGAGAGGACCAGTTACCATACCATCCCCACACTGGGAGAGAGAGAGGACAGTTACCATACCATCACACACTGGAGAGGATCAGTTACCCATACACAATCCACCTGGAGAGGACAGTTACCAGCAACATCAAACACACACTGGAGAGGACAGTTACCATACAACATCACACACTGTAGAGACAGTTACCATAACACATCACACCACTGGAGAGGAAGAGGACAGTTCCATACCATCACACACTGGGAGGAAAGGGGACAGTTACCATACCATCACACACTGGAGATATAGAGGACTTTACCATACCGTCACCACCCTGGAGATGACAGTTACCATACCATCACACACTGAGAGACCGTTTTACCATACACATCAACACTGGAGAGAGAGTGCCCATACACATCACATCACACACTGGAGATGAGAGAGGAATTTACCATACACGTCAAACAACACTGGAGAGGACAGTTACCATACACATCACACACCTGGAAGGAGAGAGAACAGTTATCCCCATACACATCACACACTGGAGAGGAGAGAGGACGTTCCATACACATCACACACTGGAGAGGGAGTTTTACCATACCCATCACATACACACTGAGAGGAACAGTTACCATACAACATCATCACACTGGAGAGGACAGTTCCCATAACACATCACACACTGGAGAGGACAGTTACCATACCACACACCTGGAGAGGACAGTTACCCTACACATCACACATGGAGAGGACAGTTACCAATAACATTCACACACTGGAGGGACAGTTACCATACTATCACACACTGGAGGAGGAAGAGACATTTACCATACACATCACACACTGGCGAGGACGTACCAACACATCACATCACACACACACGTAGAGGACAGTTACCATACACATCACACACTGGAGAGGACAGTTACCATACACATCACACACTGGAGAGGAGAGAGGACAGTTACCATACACATCACACACTGGAGAGGAGAGAGGACAGTTACCATACACATCACACACTGGATCGTACAGTTACCATACCATCACACACTGGAGAGGAGAGTACCATACACATTCACACACTGGATAGGAAGAGGACAGTTACCATACAACATCACACACTGGAGAGGACAGTTACCTACCCAGCAACACTGGAGAAGGAGAGAGGAACAGTTACCATACACTCAATCACACACTGGAGAGAAGGAGGGACATACCACACAATCACACACGGCGAGGAGAGTTACCATCCATCACACACTTAGAGGACATTTACCATAACACTCACACACTGAAGGACAGTTTACCACCATACAACATCACACACTGGCGAGGACAGTTACCATAAAACCACATCACACACTGGTAGAGACAGTTAACCATACACAAATCACCCACACTGAGAGGACAGTTACCATACACATCACACACTGGAGAGGAGAGAGGACAGTTACCATACACATCACACACTGGAGAGGACAGTTACCATACACATCACACACTGCGAGGACAGTTTCATACCCCTCACACACTGAGAGGACAGTTTACCCATACACATCACACAAACCCCACGGGAAGGAATAGGACAGTTACCATACACATCACACACTGGAGAGGAGAGAGGACAGTTACCATACACATCACACACTGGAGAGGAGAAGTGACAGTTAACCATACACATCACCCACTGGATAATTACAGTTTACCATACACATCACACACTGTAGAGGACAGTTAACCATAAAATACCCATCACACACTGGAAGGACCGTTACCATACCATCACACACTGGAGAGTAGAGAGACAGTTACCATACACATCACCCACTGGAGATGGAGAGAGACAGTTACATAACCATCACACACTGGAGAGGACTTAACCATACACATCACACACTGGAGATGCCGTTAACCATACACATACACACACTTGTGAGAGAAGTTTACCATACACATCACACACTTGGAGAGGCAGAGAGGACAGTTACCATACACATCACACACTGGAGAGGAGAGAGGACAGTTAACATACACATCACACACTGGAGAGGACAGTTACCATACACATCACACACTGGAGAGGACCGTTACCATACACATCACACACTGGAGAGGACAGTTACCATACACATCACACACGTGAGAAGGACCGTTACCGATACACATCAACACACTGGAGAGAGATAGACAGTATAACCATACACATCACACAGCTGGAAGAGGAGAGAGGACGTCCCAACACATCACACAACTGGATATGAGATAGGACATGTTACCATACAACATCCCACACTGGATAGGAAGAGGACAGTTAACAACACATCACCACTGGGAGGACAGTTACCATACACATCACACACTGGAGAGGACCGTTTACATAACATCACACACTGGAGAGGACAGTTACCATACACATCACACACTGGAGAGGACCGTTACCATACACATCACACACTGGAGAGGAGAGAGGACAGTTACCATACACATCACACACTGGAGAGGAGAGAGGACAGTTACCATCCATCACACCCTGTAGAGGATAGAGACAGTTACATCACATCACAACACTGGAGAGAGGACAGTTACCATACACATCACACACTGGAGAGGACAGTTACCATACACATCACACACTGGAGAGGACAGTTACCATACACATCACACACTGGAGAGGAGAGAGGACAGTTACCATACACATCACACACTGGAGAGGACAGTTACCATACACATCACACACTGGAGAGGACAGTTACCATACACATCACACACTGGAAGGACGTTTAACCAACACATCACACCCAAAAACAACCTGGAGAGGACAGTTACCCCAAAATACAACATCAAACACTGGAAGAGGACATTACCATAACAATCACACACTGAGGAGGACAGTTTAACCATACACATCCACACACTGGAGATGACCTGTTACCATACCATCAACACACTGGAGAGGACAGTTTACCATACCACATCACAACACTGGATAGGACAGTTACCTACACATCACACTGGAGAGGACAGTTCCCATCACATCACACACGGAGAGGAAGAGAGGACAGTTACCATACAACCAAAAAAAAAATCAACACACTGAGAAGGACAGTTACCATACCCCTCACACCTGGAGAGGACAGTTACCATACACATCACACACTGGAGAGGACAGTTACCATACACATCACACACTGGAGAGGACAGTTACCATACACATCACACACTGGAGAGGACAGTTACCATACACATCACACACTGGAGAGGACAGTTACCATACACATCACAACACTGGATTGGACAGTTACCCATACCCATCACAACACTGGGAGGTACAGTTACCATACCACATCAACACTGAGAGGACAGTTACCTCCCCTCACACACTGGAGAGGCAAGAGACAGTTCCATACAATCACACACTGGAAGGATAGAGGACAGTTTTACCATACACATCACACACACACTGGAGAGGACAGTTACCATACACATCACACATTGGGAGGAACCGTTAACCATAGACACATA